AAAAAAAAAAAACTTCCTTAAATCACTAAGCAAAGACAAGCAGCCCCTCCCTCCAGATGGTAAAGGGCTTGAACAGGCCTTCACCAAAGCGGACACTGGATGGGCCAGGGCGCCCAGGAAGCTGCAAACGCAGCGAGGTGCCAGCACACGGAGACCAGGGACAACTAGGATTCTCACTTTGCTGATGGGTACACAAAAGGGTACAGACCCCTTGGAGAACTCTCACGAAAACCATTGTGGGCAAACACTGCGGTGATGCCCAGCAGTCACACCCTGGGCATTCACCAGGAGAATCGAGTGTTTCTGTCCTTACACCACAGTCAGGAATGTGAAGGTGGTTTCATTCATGATAGCCCGAGAGTAGAAGCAAATGTCAGTCGACAAGAGGATGGGCACAGTCATAAATAGGGTTGAGTCATACCGTAGAATATTAAATAGCAATGAAAAAGAACAAACCCAGACACATGCAACAAGACAGCCCAACCCCAAAGACAGAATGAGTGAAAGCAGCCAGCTACAAGAACGCAGGCCCTTACAGGAGCCCATTTGTATCAGAACGAGAAGAACGGCTCTGTGGGGGTGGCGAGGTGTCAGACCCGGGAGCTTCCTGTGTGCCATCACATGCCAACCAGAGAGGGCAAAAGGAAAAGGGTTTTAGTGGTGAGGAAGGGCTCTGTGGCCAAAAGGAAGGTCCAAGGACAGTGAGGAGTCGCTGCCTCCTCCCCCCGGAAAGGTCTATACGTCAGGAAACAGATTGTACCCTGACTTTTTAGAGCCTGCAGGGCTGTCTCTGGAGAGAGGGGCACTTCTGAAGACCTGGAACCCTGCAAGCGTGGCTTTCCTGGGTGAGACTGAGCTCTCCATCGCCAGAGGCGTGCAAGCTGCAGCAGAGGCTGGCTTGGCCGGGCTGGGGTGGGGTCCCAACTCTAGACTCATAACCAGAGTTCTGAAACCCGAGTTCCTGATCTCAGGCTGTTGGGGACAGTTATTCTGGAGGCTTTAGGATGAGCTCTCAAAGGCCAATCTGCAGAGGACATGTTCACTGGGCTTGAGGAACCTCCCATGAGTGCTGCTGCTGTAGTTCTGACAGGAGCGTGGGGAGCCCTGTGTTGGAGGCAGCACCTGAGGGGTGCTCAGGCTGGGGAGGGACATCCCCCACCACAGAAAGACGTGGGGGCCTGGGACTGGAACCGCCTCAGAACTGGCTCAGTGAGCTGGACTCAAAAAGCAGGGGCCCAACATTTCATGTGCAGAAGGTATTTTGGGGTAAACACAAGGTGGGCAGCTTCATTTTCCCAGTAAGGAGAACCCCCAGCTACCATTGTTTTAAAAAGCAAAGACAGTCCTAAGCAGGAAGCCCGTCCTCTCAAGACCAAAGGTAGTTCTCTACGCTGAAAAAGTACAGCAGTTTGAAAACCTTGTTTTCCTCAGCTCCCTGGAGGTGGGTGAGGGAAGCCCCCTCCGCCGGGCAGCTCCGGCCAAGGGCAGGCTGACCGCCCCTTCCCGGGGGGGACTCACAGCTCCTGAGATCCACGCCCTGGTCAGTGGCCGCCACCTCTGTCTTGCGGCCTGATGTCCGGCTTACTGGCCTCCCCACTAGAGACTCCCCAAGAGGCTCTGTCTCCTTAGCTCGGGTGTCTAACCCTGGGGTCGCTCTCAGGACCCTGAGCGCCCCTGGTGACCACAATCCCTAAACCAGGACAGCAGCCATCACTTTACTCTGTGTTTCTGAGAGCCCATCAGCCTCCAGCTTTATGCTGAAATGGGGGGAGGGCGGCTAATTGCTATTCAGCAGCAAGTGCTGTCAGTCAACAAGTGAGTCGTGCGGATTCTACTGGGAACCCAGACTGTGACTTCAGTGCAGCCCCTTCACGTGCTGGTCAGGAGGGAGCAAAAGCGGGAAATGGCCAAACCGCGGCCTGAGATCCAAGTGGTTCCCGAGGCTCAACGGGACCTCAGGCCAGACGCCAGCCACTCAGCGGCCACGCTGTGGACGGGCGGGCTGGTGTGCTGCCCCGGCCACCCTGAGCCTGGGTGGGTGCCGACGGGTAGGCACAGGCGTGGGGGAGGGAGGACGAGGCCTGTTTGCACCCTTCAATTGGCCTCTGTCCCTGGCACACAGGCTGCCTTCTGGGCCACCTGCAGCTCCTTTAGGGTCCAGTTTGAGCTGCCCCTCCGGGCCAGAGAGCGAGCTGCTCAGTGAGGCCCAGACATTCCCTTGGTCTCCCTCCGCTGCGGCTCCAGGTGCCTGACTCAGCCCTGTTTGTGGTGAAAGTCTTGGGGCGCAGGTGGAGAGAAAGGTTAAGGAGCAGGCCCTCTTCCTCTCTGCTCTTCACCCCAGTCTTCTTTCTGCTTTGAACCCAGTTTCCACTGATGTAAGAAGAAAGCAAATATCCACATGTAATTGAGACTTTCTCTAAGATGCCAGTGCTGTACCACCTCATCTGTTACCCACCTGCCCATCCATCCACCTGCCCATCCACCCGCCCATTTATCTACTCGCCCATCTATCCACCCATCTGCCCATCCATCCATCCATCCATCATCCACCCCATCCACCCATTATCCATCCATCCTTCATTATCCACCCATCTATGTCTGTCTGACCACTCATTATCCGTCCTTCTGTCCATCTCTGTCCAGTGTTAGCTGAGCCCAGATGCTGTCCTGAGCCCTTCCATCAGGGGAGCTGCCTGTCCCAGGAAGAGTCCAGAGGAGCTAAGTGATCAAAGAAAGGCTGAGTCACCTAGAGGAGTTTGCTAGCCATCTGGACTCCTGCCCACCCCATGCCTGGGGGTTCAGATTCTCCAGGCCTGGGACTCGGCCACTTGCACCTCTCACAAGCTCCCAGAACACCCTGATGTCACAATCTGTGAGGAGCTGTGCAAAGCCTTGCCCACCTGTTCATTTTTCGGAAGCCCAGAAACATTTGTGGAGCAAATGAATTAGGCAGCATGCCAACGTCCAACCCTGGGAGGCCGCCCTTGCCTCCAGGCAGACACTCCAGGCCTCATGGGGGGCTCTCAGTGTGCCAGGGGCAGGTAAAGCCACAGCGGGTGAACACAGGACCTCACCCTGCTTTGCCAGCTTTCCCAGGGATTAAGTCCCCCAAACCTGCTTTTAATACCAGCAACAAATACACAAACATTTCTAAAGCACAAGGCACAAATTGCATAAGTTTTAAAAAGAGACTTCAAAGAAGTCCACGCTTGCAGCGGACCCAGGAGGAAGCTTCCAGAAAACCCCGGGAGCAGTGATTCTGGGGAAGGGTGGGAGGAGCGAGCAAGAGGGTCGGCGGAGGGTGAGGCCTGTCCAGGGAGACCCCTGCAGACCGGTGGGGGCCAGGCAGGGCAGGCGGCCTCCCCCACCCTCCTCTCCCACCCTCCTCCCTCACCGCAGGGGCTGGCGCTGTGGATGAGAAAGAGGAGCTTGAGGAACCCCAATGTTGCCCAGCTTCACCTGGAAAGCCCAGATTTCAGACTCCCAGCTATCAGAGGAGGACGTGGGACCTCAAAGCAGGTGGCTGATTAGAGAGGGGCTCTTCCCAGAGATGCCCCACTCCTGTCAAAACAAACTTGGCGGTGCTACAAAACGCCCGCAGAGTTTGAAACGTGTTCATTAGCGACGAGAACGGCAGGTTTCGCGCCGAGGAGAGGCTGGCGGCGGTCGCGGGCGGGGCTCCTTCCCCAGTAATCAGGAAAACGACTGGAGAGACAGAAGGGGTCCCCTGAAGACATCACCCAGCAGAGGGGATTTGGGCTGGCGGCACAGGCCCAGGCTGGACAGACCAGTCGGTCTGAACCTGCCCCAGACACTCACTAGCTGAGCGCCGTCAGCCCTTCACTGCCTCGGTTTCCCCTTCCTCCGTGTCCCTACTGGTAAAGCTACAGGCTTGACCCCAGGACCCCTCTTGGACATGCAGGAGGGAAGGGCCTGGAGGTCCCGCCTGGACTCTGGAAGAAGAGGGTGGCCAGGAGGGAAGGCCCAGGGGGGCGTGAGGGAGCTGGTGAGGACGAGTCCTGAAGCCTGGCTCCTTTGTGCTGGGCCTGTGAGCCTCCCTCCGGCCCCAAGGTCCAATTGACCCTCAGCCTGAGGGTGCCCCTCCCTGCTGCCCCCAGGCTGCTGCCCTGGCCCCCACCTCTGCCCCTGGAAGAGCCTGGCTGAGTCCCTCCCAGTTCTGCCCGTCCCCACCCATCCGCCACCCCAGGGAGGCCCCGTCCCAGGCCCAGGGCTTCTCTCCCTAAGGGAGAGGGCTGAGTCCGCAGCCTGGCACACTAGCCATCTCCGAGCGCCAGGCACTGGGTTCTTTGGGCAGTGACCCCTACACCTCCGGGGTCACCTGGATTCCTAAGTCCCCGTAAACTAATCACCAGCTGGCCCCTGCTACACGCAGACCCCAGGAGAAGCTGGAAACACGGCACTCTTTCAGCGTTGAGTTATTTTCACATCATGTCCGTCCAAATATCTTTCTCGGGCTCCCACACGGGCCCCGCTCAGAGAGCTAAAGACCAGGTGTGCCCGTGTGTGGCTGCAGGCGGCACCTGGTGTCCTCTGGCTACTGGGGCTCATCTGAGGTGGCGCAGATAGCGCGAGGCCCTCCCCTACCTGCCCGGCCCCGCACCCCACCTGGCCTCAAGTAGGCGTCTCCCTCACTGCCCCTGGGATTCCAGCCCCCCAACCCGCTCCGGCGACGCCCATGCAGGTGTCCGGTCATTCCTGGGATGCGATCAGAACAGAGCAGGGTTCAGGGTGAAGACCCACCCCGGCTGTCAGTTCCAGGGGGCCGGACACAGGTGCGCAGTCTTGGATCAACCTGCAAAAGCAGGTTTCCAGGCCAGCGATCCCGGCGTCCCGGTCTTCCGGGGCAGGGGTGGGTGGGACCTGCGGGAGGCGCCCTGGGACCCCCTGCGCTGTGCCGTGATCCGGGGACCCCCGCCCGCCTGGGGTGCCCAGCCCTGCTTTGCCGCCCAGCCCGCAGCCGCTGCCCTGCTCTCCCGGCCCCCGATCTGTCTGGCAGCTGCTGCTGTTGCTCGGAGCGAGACACTTGCTTGTAGTTTGTGAGCTGTGTATAGGCAAATCCTTCATTTTTCTTTCATTACGCCGGCGTGTACTGTCACTTAATTTTTATGTATGCAATCCTTTCTGACAAATATGATCTGCTGCCTGGTAATTCGTCTGACGCTCATTCTGTTCCGCGCTCTAATTACGGCTCCTATTCCTGACACCGAGGCAGCCGCCCTGCCACCGCTGGGTACCGCACCTGTCAGCCTGGCCATGGCATGACTAATGCCCTTTCATGCCAGCCCCGTGTTAGCAAATACAGAGGCGGGGAGGGCGCTGGGGGAGGGGGGCCAGGCGGAGACGGGGCTGCAGAACCCGGCTGGGTTGGCACCTTCAGGAGACTGGGCGGTTGCCAGGGCAACAGGGCGCCATGGCCGCATCCCCACATAGTAGGTGTGCGGAGATGCAGTGGACGCCTAGGAGAGACCCACGCACACACGGAAGGAGCCCGGCGCCCCAGACCTTCCCAGGAGGCAGTTAGTTCCATCTCGCCACCCTGGGCCGTGGCTTGGCCAGCTGTTTGCAGGGGGGCGCTGCGCAAGGGGGTCTTTCCTGCCCCTCAGACTTCCTGGGAGTCACTGCCTGGAGCCAGCCGCAGGGAGGGGCCCTGTGCAGGCCTCTCCTGACTGGGGGCAACCCTGGGGTCCTTCACCCACCCATCACGTGCCCGGCAGGCTGCTCAGGGGCCTCAGGAAGAGTCGGGCTCACGCAGGCGGCCTTCCCCGCACGTCCCCTTTCCTTCTCAGTCTTGTAATAAGTGCACCAGCCCCCGCCGAGAAACTCTCACCGGCGATGCGCCCCGGTTCAGCCCCCCCACCCCCAAACGCTGTGGCCCTAACTGGCTCTGACGAGCGACATAGCCTTTTCCGCGGCGAGACTCGGACAGGCTGAGGCCTGCGTGACAGCGGACAGGAGGCAGTGCCTCTGTCTCCTCTGACAGTTTCCCTAGAATTCCCTGCCTTTCCTCCCTTTAACCAGGGAGGAAAACAGTCCCCAATGGACACTGACTTTCTGAAGGGCCCAGGGGAGACAAGGTTCCTCCCAGGACCCTGGCTCTGGTGGCCAGGGCCTGGCGGGAGGCATGCACCACTGCCCGGGCCGGCCACGGGGAGGGGGTGAGCGCTCCAGAGGAGGCTTCGTCCCCGCCACATATTTTGGATTCTTTGTTTGCAGGAAGGAAGGACCCTGCTGCCCCGCCAGCTATGTGCGGCATGACCGTAACGTCACCCGCTCGGGGCAGCGGGTCCTCACAGCTTTCCCTCCGAGCCAAGAGCAGGCCCTGAGATGCTGGGCTCCACGGCCTGGGCAGGCGCCCCAGGGGCAGGCGGGAAGGGCTGCCCCACAGGCTCATGCACTCTACCCTTGCAAGGGCTGAAGCTGCATTCCTCCTGATCGGCGCTGCCACCGGGGCACCTGTGGGCCCTGCGGACCGTTTCCATGGGAAAGTGGATCTTCCAGAAGGCCCCTGCACCAGCTGCCGCAGCACTGGGTGGAAGCCAGGAGACCCTGGCCGGG